TCTATCTGTTTTCTTTTTATTTATTATATAATTAAAAAAAACCTTGCTACGTGTACTGCGTTAACCTAACTGAGACTTGTTATAGCACTTGCATATCATTGCTCCTTTGTTGATTTTGATTGCTTTTATTGTCCTCATTTGTAAGTCGCTTTGGATAAAAGCGTCTGCTAAATGACTAAATGTAAATTCGGTGTCTTCCGTTTTAATTTTTCTGGATTTCAATTTAATGCTATTGAATTAAATTGAATGTTTTTATTAAATTTAATTGATTAATAATCAAGAGGCATGTCTACTCAATTGAAACTTTAACAACTTAATATTTTATTTATTGTTTTACATTAATTTGCACATTTACACAGCAGTGCTTTAATATTCACACACACTCGTCCGTATCGCCGTTTGATCGCGTGCACAGCCCTACTCTTCATTTATTCTTCCAGCATATTTTTCTGACTGGATTCAGTAGGGCTCTAGCGGTGAGGTCGGTCAGTCATACGGGTGAGTACGCAGAACCCCGTCTCTCTCTCTCTCTCTCTCTCTCTCTCTCTGTGTCTCTCTCTCTCTGAGGCAGACGGACTCGGTGAGGTGCATCCGGCACCAAATAAAGGCGCTTCCTTTGGCAGCGCGTCCAGAGCAGCTCCACAGGAGCAGGTGAAAAATAGAGCAGGGAAGCGCTTCAGACGCTCGGCTCTGGCATCACCTTCTGCTCCTGCGGCCGTCAGGACTCACGTGAGCGTCAGCGGAAGCCCATGTTAGGCTGTCCGCTCGCAGACCGCTGACTGACTAAAACATTCATTCTGATAAACAGCTCTAGATTATTATCTGTAGGTAGAAGTATGGGTCTGGTTAGGCTTGTTAGTGTTACTGAGTTTGTGCTGCTGTGTTTTTTAGGTCCTAATCTGAAGACTTTATGCAAGCTAGCAGTTATTCGGTACAGTCTGGAGCAGTCTGGACTCCCTCATGACATCAGGTGAGAGTCAGAACCTCCACATATACATACATTCAGCCTTCATATATGAACGCAAGTCACACCAGCTTCAGAAGAACACACACGCACACACACACGCTAGTGAATGAGTGTGAAACCAGAGACCGCGATAACAATCTGCACCTCAACCCTTGACCCCCATCAGCTCTGGACTCTTGTCAGCAGCTCACAGCTTTACTGATCAGGTTACACACACACACACACACACACACACACACACACACACACTCGTGTTAGCGGGAGAGAGTGAAGCCATGTTAATACTCCACAGGCGTAACAAAGACCAATAATTCAACCAATTAGTGCAACGAATTATCGCTCTCACCAAAGACAAAATACATCACGCAGGTTCAGTCCAAACACCAGCTGTGCTCACACACACACACAGACACACACACACACACACACGCACACACACACACTCACACAGGTTTGTTTTTGTGAAAAGTGGGGACTCTCCATAGGCGTAATGGTTTTTATACTGTACAGACCGTATATTATATTGCCCTACACCAACCCTACCCCTAAACCTACCCCTCACAGGAAACTTTGTGCTATTTCAGATTTTCAATACACTCCATTCTGTGTGATTTATATGCGTTTTGAAAAGTGGGGACATGGGGTAATGTCCGCATAAGTCACCTTCTCCTTGTAATACCTGTGTCATACCTTTGTCATTATACAAATTTACAGTGGGGCAAAAAAGTATTTAGTCAGCCACCAATTGTGCAAGTTCTCCCACTTAAAAAGATGAGAGAGGCCTGTAATTTTCATCATAGGTATACCTCAACTAT